GTCGATTGCGTCAAAAAGTCAGTGACACACTCTTATCTATCTGCGCCACCGGAACTGATGTCTCACAACTACTTATAACTAAATGTAAATAGACACCCCGTATTTTTTATTCCATAGTAAGGGCAATTCATACAATACATTTAAACTGAGCTACTTTAATACCATCTCCGAACTTTCTACCACGACTCTGCTGTTCTTCGGCTGATTCTTCCCTGTATACGTTGATTGACAGATGTCTCGTCCAGTCAGCGGAGAGTAATCCCAAACCAATGGCGCTGTCTCAAACTATACCTACCTTTTCTGGTTTGTCTGATTTGTCGTTGTGTTTTCTGACTTGTTATATTGTTTTCAGATTTGTCATTGTGTTTTCTGACTTGTTATAATGTTTTCTGAATTGTTGTTGTGTTTTCTGAATTGTCATTTTGTTTTTTAGACTTGCATTTGCATTTGTAATTTGCTATTTTGTTTTCAGAATTGTGATTTGTTCTGCACTTCTCGGCCACCGTACTATGATAATGATGAGCATAATAACATGAGCACTAGGACTGCACGATTATGACAAAAATCATAATTGTTGATTATTCCCTTGAAATGGTAATTGCGATTATTAATTTAGATTATCGCAATTTACATTGAATGATGTTTATACCATTGTTTGATGCAACTGCATGCCGTATTTTTATATGAAAATAAACAAGCTGAAAACACTAACTGAAAAACTTTTAGTGCTTTCTATAGTAGCTATTAAGCTTCAAATGTCAACTATACATCGGATTGGTTTCTTCTTTAAATTATAAAAATGTAAAAATATGAATGGTATTATAATGTTATACTAAAACTAAAATTAAAATAATAATAAATAAAACCCTTAAGTTAACATGTAGAAAGAAAAAAAACGCATCTTAAAGGGGTCATATGATGCGATTTCAATTTTTCCTTTCTCTTTGGAGTGTTACAAGCTCTTGGTGCATAAAGAAGATCTGTAAAGTTGCGAAGACTAAAGTCTCAAATCCAAAGAGATATTCTTTATAAACGTTACGAGACAACCACGCCTAACTAAAACGGCTCATTCTAACAAGCCCCCACATGTCTACGTCATGATGTGGGAAGATTTGCATAACACCGCCCAAATGTTCACACAAAGAAAGAAGGCGTAACTTTTATTCTCGCTGTAGTATTGCTGTTGCCGACGCCGCCATGTCGTGAAGGCGCTTTGTTTCGTTGTGAAAGCGAAACTACTTTGTTTGGCCTTCCAAAAGGACACAACTAGAAATCAGAGGTTAAGTTGTATTTACAACACTGTTCAAGAACAGTTTAACCCAAATATTCAGATGTGTCCAGCGCATTTTATGGAGGACTGTTTCCTGATCCTGGAAGAGTAGACTACAATGCCGGCTGTTCTGACTCACAGACTGTAAGTATGTTTTTTATATTTAAATATTTTTATATTCAGCCAATCACAACGCACTGGATAGCTGGCCAATCAGAGCACACCTCGATTTTCAGACCGATGAGCTTTGTAAAAATCGACGCGTTTCAGAAAGGCAGGGCATAGAGGAGAAACAATAATGTTATTGTGTTTTTTGAACCTTAAACCGCATAAACACATTTCATTACACCAAATACACAAAATAATGTTCTTGTTAGCAGCATCATATGACCCCTTTAAATAACACACACAAAGAAATATAATTTATGCGACGAAAAGAATATCTTTATCAGTCTATGTCAAGTACAGTGATACATCAAATAAAGAATGCTCAAAGGCAGATCATAGGAATGCTGAAAAACTTAATGAAAAACATTGAGGCTATTTCTAGGGTAGTGAGAAATGTTGACGGTGCATATTAGTACCTCAGAGTAGCAATATGTACCATTAAGGTAGTAATAGTACCGGAACTCTTATGTCATGCTCTTAAGTCATGCCTGATATAAGTGGTAGGCTACTATTATATATTATGTTATAAGAACATTTGTTAAGAGACATTACCTAAACTTGTTAATTGTTTTAATTGTATTATAACTCATTATTTACATGAATCTCTTGAGAAGGCATGAATATGAATACTTGAGAAGGCAAATATTTACACATGAGATCCATATGCAAATATGATACGTTTATTAAAACCTTTCATTTGCAACCTAGCAACCGAGCTCACTGTCTATGGCTTAAATAAATAAACAAGAAACTTAAATAAAGAACCACACTCTGGCGATGAAACACTATCAATGTATATAAAGTTAATTCACATGGACTATGGAGTTTATCGGTCAGCTGCCACCTTTTTTTCTCCGGACTATCGGCCAAACACATCTGCCTGAAATGCATGGGCGGTGGCCAAGAAGGCCTATTTAAACCAATGTCCAGCTGTAAAGCCACAAGACACGATGGTTGAGTGGACAGCTGAGGAGCAGAGCTGCAATACAGGTGTATTTGCAAAACTCGACTACGAGTCAGTGGGCCATGAGAGCTTGGCGAGGTAATCTTATTCCTGGCCTGCTTTATTCGATATATTTCATTGTATGTATTTCTTCAAAGAATGTGTTTGTAATTAATCATTAACCTGTTAGAATTAAGGCCTTTAATATTCCTGTATTGATTGTCTGGTCTCAAGATGCTTGGTTGTCTACCCCTGGACTCGGCGGTACTTTGGTGGGTTTGGAAACCTATATAATAGTCTGAGGCAATCATGGCTAACCCAAAGGTCGCAGCGCATGGGACTGTAGTGCTCCAAGGACTGGATAAAAGCGCTTCAAAACATGGATGATATCAAGAACTCCTGCGCTTCCCTTAGCGAGCTTTACTCTTCACTCAGAAACTGCAAGTCGACCCAGGAAATTTCCAGGTTGGCATCTCTGAGCAGTGGCTATCATGCTGCTTATAATGATGGAGCTGTGCTTTACTTTTCTCAACTTCTCTTCCAGCTCTTAGGTGACTGTCTGACCGTGGTGATCGCTACACGCATGAGGACTGAGTTCACCCCAGACATCCAAGCTGCATGGCAGAAGTTCCTGTCTGTTGTCTTGTCAGCCCTAAGAAGGCAGAACCATTTATTCGTCGACTGAACGAGAAAATTATCTTGTACTTGACTGTATAATGCATTTGTGAAAAATAAGAGATTGATACAATTTCGTCCATTGAGTTGTCTCTACATTTAAAATTAAATATATAATTAGAAGTGCTAATATTCACAATTTACTAACTTACAAGAATGTTGCATATGGTTTCGGGTCACAAAGGCCAGAGGCCATATCATTTTGATATGATTTCCACTTCCTGCCCCTCACGCTTCTCACGCCTTACAAGACTTTAAAAGAAATATAGGCCTAACTTATGCAAACTTTACGTCCAAAATTCCCTTGCTGAAGATCCAAAATGCTTGATTGTTCACACTCAAAAATACATTCAAATGTATTTAGGTCTAAATTTAAGATGTATGTTTTTCAATTCCATATTTCCATATATTTGGATTACACAGTTTTAACACAAACTAATAAAGTGATGCATATTAGTCATTCTAATGAAACCAGTAAGAAACGGCAGATTTCTGCACTCAAAAAATTTGCGTTTATTAGATTATATTTAAATAATCATATTTTTAAAATGCGTTTATTCAAATTGCTTAGCAGCGTTGCTTGAAATGTAGTTAATTATGTGACTGGAACAAGCAAAATTCAATTAGTTAAAATGTATAAGATTGAAACAAATGGGATTTATTTATGATACATACAGTGGTGTGAAAAAGTGTTGGCCCCCTTCCAGATTTCTTATTTTTTTGCATATTTGTCACACTTAAAAGATTCAGATCATCAAACACATTTTAATATTACACAAAGATAATGCAAGTAAATACAAAATGCAGTTTTTAAATTATGATTTCATTTATTAAGGGAAAAAAGCTGTCCATACAGAAATCCTACCTATTTCTTACCTATTTAATTTAAAGTGCCCCTATTATGGGTAATGAAAGGTTTATATTTTGGTTTTGGGAGTCCCCAACAACAGGTTGACATGCATGCAAGGTCAAAAAACACTTTCATTGTCTTATAATATGCATTTATTTTGACCTTACTTGCTCAAGGACTCCCAAAGGATTCGCTCAACTATTCATTTTTCCGAACCTCTCCTTTGCCTGACGCTAATCTGCAGTGATTGGTCCGATTGGTCTCATTTTCATTTCATCACGCCTGTAATGCCTGATAAAGCTGCGTTTGTGAACGCAGTGCTGCTTTGTGTACAGCGTTACCAGGGAAACAGTTATTTTACCCTCCAAAAGTGGCATCTAGTGGCAAAGAATGAATTTACATTTTCATTCAGACCAACGCGAAAAGACCAACAAGTGGGCGGGCAGGGCAATATGCTAATATTTCATGTTGACGTCAACATGAAACGGCTAGGGATTTGTTTTAAAAACGACTGGCTTCAATGATTCAGAGTCGACTCTTGCTTTTGAGAGACAATAACTTTATACACGATGCACTTTCAGATTTAAAACTTTGCAGGATGTTTTCATTCACTTAGAGCTGTGTTACACTGCATGAAAGGTAATTTTCAAAAATCCATAATAGGGGCACTTTAATATAGTATTAGGGTATCAATGATTCACAGGTAATGACAGGTCTGCCGTTTAAATACTTTCAGCACAACGGAGAGCGTCACATTTCCTTTGGACTTCAGCCAAGATTTCAGCACTGAAGTCTGGATAGCTGTAGCACCACACCCACATCAAACATCAAGTGCAACACTGTCGCCATTGATTGATTTCTTCCCTTTTGCATCAAGTACCTAATGAGGATGACTTTGTATTATAGGAAGCCAAAATACTGACAATACAGCATCACCGTAAAAACGACTAAGCTAATGCACTGTAGGCTATATAAAAACAAGAAAAGTATTGGAAGTGTAACAATCCCACAGAGGGCGGTAACTGAGAAGAGACTATTCCATGGGATTACATGAGGACAAATTACAAAGAAACACATACTTTGTAAAACATGTATTATTGATTTATTAAAGACAGAATTATCAGAACCATCCCATGCTCCTTCGGAGGGTCTTCATCGGAACTTCTCGGCTAAAACCGCTGAGAATGCCGAAAGAAACTTGTCTATCGCCGCGTGTGCAACTGGTGTGAAGTTTTCGCCCATATGGCAGGCTAACGTCACAAGGATGCAATGATTGAAAAGCTGGAAAAAAATGGAGAAGTTTACGTTAGTGAGCTAAAGCGAAAATATCACATCATATTTGTGGACAGACATTACATGAACACCTTGAAGTTTGTAGGATGTATTCGCAGTTGATAGGCATGGAACCTGCTAAGCGGGGCCAACGTTGTAGTAAGCGTGCTTATGTTCCTCGCACCTTCAGCTAAAGCCTGGACGATTTTCTTCCCGTGGCAGAGCAAATGCGCTGAACGGGGGCTGATATCTAGATGAGAGAAGTATGTCTTTGTTTTGGGGAACGTTGTGAACATCCTGTAAACCAGTTAACAAGGGAGAAAAACACGGTCAGCAAGACCTATTCCTCCCTCTCTGTTGCTTGCGTCATCACTCATGGGGAACTGCCAAATAGGCTACAAGACCATCAATCATCGTAAAGACTTTTGATTTTCAGAAAACTGAGCGGAGAACTATCAAGGATCCACCAAAGAGTAAGTCAGACCAAGTTTTGTATAATTGAAAGAAAAGCAACATTTTATAGAAACGTCGGTTTGGTCTGTTAGCCTATTTGTTTATTAATCTATAGGACGGCGTACCTTAAAAGAGCCTCAGATCCAATATCTTCTGCCACTGGAATCATTTTGTCCCATATCTGTACAATCAACTCTTTTTCGGTGTTCGAGAGCATTATAAGACGGCGTGGCACAAGTAAAATATATTTATACTATCTAAACACAGGTGAATAAATATAAATTTAGTTTTGCCAATGCAATGTCGATCACATCTCGACTTTAAAAAAATAGCAAAAATAGAAGGGAGCCGTTAGCAGAAATGTTGTTCCCGACGGTCGCTGTCTTCAACTCACCGGCAAGCTAGAGGTAATCACGCGAGAGTTGAAACTGCGCAATGTTGTGTTCCCTGCGTCATATTAGAAGAGCCTATGCCTAAGTTATCGTGCCGGGATTCCGCGTCTCGAGTGAGTTCAGTGATGTATTTCGCAATAGTATTCATAAAATCTCATCGCAGCACTTGTGATGAATGGCTACGCTATTTGAGGATAACTGATCTAATTTTATGTCTCTGGAAAATAGTGATCTATGACATTGCATTAGCCTATGTTACATCAGTGTTTTAAATTTGTGGAGTAAACTAAAGCTATAGTTTTTAAAGTAAAAAAATAAAATGTCATGCTTATTGTAATTAATGGGCTTATTATTTTATATTTCTATAAATTACATACCTATAGGTTGTTATTATGAAACATCTTTGTTAAATTAAAATATGTGCAGATACATATGCAGATATTCATATGCCTGTATATAAATCATAATTTTACCTTTCAGAAGAATCTATTTGACTGGGATTCTGCTTTGTCTGTCATTAGTAGAAGTTATTTAATTATTCAACTAGGTTGTCAAAATACAATGTTAAATATAATATTTGATTTAGTATTTTACATTAACAACGCATAAAAATATAGAAATATTAATAAGATTTGTATCAAAATCATTCATACATTCTGTAAAAGTTTATTCAAGGCGGCTTCTTACCCCAATATGTGCTATAACAACTAGCAAATATTTATAGTTATTTCCTATAATTACACATTAGCTGATGCATCATCAGCTTATATCTAAACATGTTTCAGTTTAAAAGAAAATCCACATTGTTCTTAAGGGGGGGCATCTTTCCCTCTATAAGATGTATGTTGATATCATTGATTTGATATCAACACAGATGATGATGAAAATGTATCTCGGTCCCACTTTATATTAAGTGGCATTAACTACTATGTACCTACATCAAAAAATACGTACAATGTACTTATTGGGTTCATATTGTATTGCAAAACACTTTTGCTGCTATTGAGGTGGGATATGGGTAAGGTTAGGGACAGGTTTGGTGGTTTGGGTAGCTTTAAGGGTGGGTTAAAATGTAAGGGATGGGTCAACTGTGTAATTATAAATGTAGTTACAGAAATTAGTTGCAGATGTAATTACATGAAGGGATTTTTAAATTATAAGTACAATGTAAAAACATGTACACAATAAGTGCATTGTACCAAATTATTAATTTAAATGTAAGTAGTTAAGGCCACTTAATATAAAGTAGGACCTGTCTCTCTATTGGAAAATTAGTGTTAGAGTTGTATAGCAATTTACTGTTTTATTTGATCACAAACAGACTGCTCATATTAAATAAACAGTAAATAATTTCCAAAAGAATATAAACATGTAGCAACATCTGCTTTCTCTGTAGTGATTTTACCACACATAATGCCAAATGTGGCTCAAACGCAAAAAGAAAACAACAGCAAAGTAATACTGTGGAGTGCATACACATTTATGATATTAAATAACGTTGACTCTCATTTTTAATGGCTATGAGCATGCACTTCTGTGATAGGGAGGGGTCAAGTCACTGGGTGTGATAAACCCTCATGGCTGTTCATATCAGTGGCTCAAGCTGGGGACTGAAAGTGGGTGGAAGCTGAAGAGCAGCGTAATCACCCGCCTCACTCCTACCCTGCCCTCCTGCTGGGAACAAACCCTGGCAGCATGAACTACCCATGACTCAGCTAAACTGAAGGACTACCTCTTTAACTGAATCCACATCCTTTTGCATTTAGTGAAATGTGCAGTATGACAGGTAGTGCATGACTGTGCTCAGGTCTATTCTTTCATCTCTGTGCGTGGGTGTTTTTGTGAAGCTGATGTAGAGTTAAAGCTTCATTTGCATATTCTATTTTCTTCTAATGATTATATGTGTATATTTTGTTATTTTATATAATCATTTATTCTGTGTTTATCATTGCTTCCAACCCTTTATGTGTTCAATTTTTTTTATGTTTTGTTCAATTTTGTGTCTGTTTCGATCTGGAAACAGCTCCATCCTCACAACCTCAAGTGACATATCATTATTATTGTTATATATGATAATGTAAAGTATTTTGTCAAATAAACACAAATTGACAAAAGGGTCTGGTCACTTTAAAACATCACTTTTTATGTACTTTGTTTGTACTTTATTTGCTTTATTATGAAAGTTTAAATAAGTCATGACAAGTAAATAGATTTTTTTTTATATATATTTTAATACGACAAGGTTTCTTTTTGATTAAAATATTCACCTGTAAAAAAAGAGAAAAGAGAACATATCCTATTCACCTGTAATACATCCCCAAGAAGAGTATAGCAGAACAACAAGGGATGTTTATGAAAAAATCATTAGTGGGAAATGATGAGGTTGACAGAAAAACAGAACAGCTCTGCAGATGTTTTGCTAGGATCTGAAAACACTGTCCCCTGGATAACCTTGTGTCCTTAAAAGACTTTCTCAAATGAAAGTGTAATCATCTTGAAAAATATGGATTATAAGTTATATTTGTGAGTGTATAATTTCTTCTTCGTCGTCTTCTTATTTTATATACAAGGTAGCAACTGTTTTTATGTCATTTAATTTAAAGTGCCCCTATTATGGGTAATGAAAGGTTTATATTTTGGTTTTGGGAGTCCCCAACAACAGGTTGACATGCATGCAAGGTCAAAAAACACTTTCATTGTCTTATAATATGCATTTATTTTGACCTTACTTGCTCAAGGACTCCCAAAGGATTCGCTCAACTATTCATTTTTCCGAACCTCTCCTTTGCCTGACGCTAATCTGCAGTGATTGGTCCGATTGGTCTCATTTTCATTTCATCACGCCTGTAATGCCTGATAAAGCTGCGTCTGTGAACGCAGTGCTGCTTTGTGTACAGCGTTACCAGGGAAACAGTTATTTTACCCTCCAAAAGTGGCATCTAGTGGCAAAGAATGAATTTACATTTTCATTCAGACCAACGCGAAAAGACCAACAAGTGGGCGGGCAGGGCAATATGCTAATATTTCATGTTGACGTCAACATGAAACGGCTAGGGATTTGTTTTAAAAACGACTGGCTTCAATGATTCAGAGTCGACTCTTGCTTTTGAGAGACAATAACTTTATACACGATGCACTTTCAGATTTAAAACTTTGCAGGATGTTTTCATTCACTTAGAGCTGTGTTACACTGCATGAAAGGTAATTTTCAAAAATCCATAATAGGGGCACTTTAATATAGTATTAGGGTATCAATGATTCACAGGTAATGACAGGTCTGCCGTTTAAATACTTTCAGCACAACGGAGAGCGTCACATTTCCTTTGGACTTCAGCCAAGATTTCAGCACTGAAGTCTGGATAGCTGTAGCACCACACCCACATCAAACATCAAGTGCAACACTGTCGCCATTGATTGATTTCTTCCCTTTTGCATCAAGTACCTAATGAGGATGACTTTGTATTATAGGAAGCCAAAATACTGACAATACAGCATCACCGTAAAAACGACTAAGCTAATGCACTGTAGGCTATATAAAAACAAGAAAAGTATTGGAAGTGTAACAATCCCACAGAGGGCGGTAACTGAGAAGAGACTATTCCATGGGATTACATGAGGACAAATTACAAAGAAACACATACTTTGTAAAACATGTATTATTGATTTATTAAAGACAGAATTATCAGAACCATCCCATGCTCCTTCGGAGGGTCTTCATCGGAACTTCTCGGCTAAAACCGCTGAGAATGCCGAAAGAAACTTGTCTATCGCCGCGTGTGCAACTGGTGTGAAGTTTTCGCCCATATGGCAGGCTAACGTCACAAGGATGCAATGATTGAAAAGCTGGAAAAAAATGGAGAAGTTTACGTTAGTGAGCTAAAGCGAAAATATCACATCATATTTGTACTGCAGCGGTTAAGTGGACAGACATTACATGAACACCTTGAAGTTTGTAGGATGTATTCGCAGTTGATAGGCATGGAACCTGCTAAGCGGGGCCAACGTTGTAGTAAGCGTGCTTATGTTCCTCGCACCTTCAGCTAAAGCCTGGACGATTTTCTTCCCGTGGCAGAGCAAATGCGCTGAACGGGGGCTGATATCTAGATGAGAGAAGTATGTCTTTGTTTTGGGGAACGTTGTGAACATCCTGTAAACCAGTTAACAAGGGAGAAAAACACGGTCAGCAAGACCTATTCCTCCCTCTCTGTTGCTTGCGTCATCACTCATGGGGAACTGCCAAATAGGCTACAAGACCATCAATCATCGTAAAGACTTTTGATTTTCAGAAAACTGAGCGGAGAACTATCAAGGATCCACCAAAGAGTAAGTCAGACCAAGTTTTGTATAATTGAAAGAAAAGCAACATTTTATAGAAACGTCGGTTTGGTCTGTTAGCCTATTTGTTTATTAATCTATAGGACGGCGTACCTTAAAAGAGCCTCAGATCCAATATCTTCTGCCACTGGAATCATTTTGTCCCATATCTGTACAATCAACTCTTTTTCGGTGTTCGAGAGCATTATAAGACGGCGTGGCACAAGTAAAATATATTTATACTATCTAAACACAGGTGAATAAATATAAATTTAGTTTTGCCAATGCAATGTCGATCACATCTCGACTTTAAAAAAATAGCAAAAATAGAAGGGAGCCGTTAGCAGAAATGTTGTTCCCGACGGTCGCTGTCTTCAACTCACCGGCAAGCTAGAGGTAATCACGCGAGAGTTGAAACTGCGCAATGTTGTGTTCCCTGCGTCATATTAGAAGAGCCTATGCCTAAGTTATCGTGCCGGGATTCCGCGTCTCGAGTGAGTTCAGTGATGTATTTCGCAATAGTATTCATAAAATCTCATCGCAGCACTTGTGATGAATGGCTACGCTATTTGAGGATAACTGATCTAATTTTATGTCTCTGGAAAATAGTGATCTATGACATTGCATTAGCCTATGTTACATCAGTGTTTTAAATTTGTGGAGTAAACTAAAGCTATAGTTTTTAAAGTAAAAAAATAAAATGTCATGCTTATTGTAATTAAT